AACACGAGTCAATATCGAACGAGCCGAACACGAGCAAACAAGTCATAACTTTGTCACCAACCCAGTCTCTAATTAACAGGACAAAACCATGGTTATTCATTTAATATTTCTTTTTTCTAGAGACTTTAAAAATTGAAAAGGAAATAAAAGGATCATTAGTTTTGCTAAAATGCAGCAATGCAATGTTGCAATGATTTATTTTTACTTCAAAGCTCAAATTGCAGGACAAAATGACACTTTTATTAAATAAAACACTAATAAGTTATATATAATGTTTATTGTATAAATACATTCATTAAAAGTTATAAAATATAAATTACAACTTGAAAGTTCATAAAAAATAGAAAAGAATGTTGTATGATACCTAACTTAAAGGCAAATATTGAATCTACAAATTAAAATTTTGAACGATTTCTAATTGTAATTTCTAATTGTTTATTGCAATACTTCAAAATTAAAAATTGTAAGGAAAACATGGAAATTAACTTTGAAGAGGGTTTCAGCAAAGTGAAGTAGGCGTCATGCGCATAGCTTCGCTTTACTCATGAAGCCAGCTAAAAACATTCCTAAAATGATAGTACAATTTTGCTTGTTTGTAAGAACTAGAAAACTAGGAGCAATGGATTACAAAATAAAAAAAACTAAGAGCTTTATATTATTCAGTGATTCTAACTCAACAATCCTCAATAATAAAATTGAACAAAATGGAATGAGGAATGTCACCTTGCAAATTTGCAATCCTGGTGAGAACCAACAGCAACCGATTTTAGGGCGCCAATCGAGCTCTCGTTGAACCGCCGAATCCTGGCCACCGATAACAAAACCGCAGCAGCAAAATGGTTGAACGTACCTAGATCGGAGCGAACAACGGCGATAACCTCCGAACCCAGCGAGGGATCTTGCTTAATGGAGAAGTTCACGTGCATCAGAACAGTCCCCTCCACTTGCCGCACCACTGAAGCCGGGGCCTTCATTGGCTCCCCAAAAAATTTTAACAAATCGGCAATCAACTGCTTTCTGGAAACCGAATTAATTCCCTTACAAGCGAGCAGCAATAGCTGGAACACCAGCCATGGGAGGTCCTGGATGTCCGCATCCCTCAATCCGTCGAAAATCTTCCGAAGAAACTCCGAAACCCTAACCCTAGATATAGCCGGGCACTCCCGGATGAGAGAGCACATTTTGACAAGAAGTGCCTTGGACCAGCTGACGGAGAGAAGTTTTTCGAGGAATGCGTCGATGAGCTCTCCATAGGGGTTGGCGAGGTTGAGGAGGTGAGGGAGGAGGTCGAGGGCCTGGGCCTTGTCGGCATCGTTAATGTCGGAGAGGTGAGAAGACAGAATATCGAGTATGGAGGAGAGATCGGAGTGGTTAAGCTTGGATAGGAGAGGAGAAATGAGGTGAAAGAGGCAGGAGGAGTCGAGGTCTCTGGGGAGGTTGCGGGAGAAGAAGAGACGAAGAAAGGAGCGGAGGACGGGGGTAAGGAGGGAGGATGATGGAGGAGAGCGGGAGAAGAGGGAGAGGAGGGAGAAAAGGAGGGATGGTGAAGGTGAGTGGAGTAGAGGGAGGAGATTGGAGGAGGAGAGGGATGGGGGAAGCGTGGCTGAGATGTTTTGAGCGAGGAGGATGATGTCGTTGGCGGTGAAAGGCGGCGGCGGTGACGTCTCGCAATTGTTTTGCCTTCGGCCAGCGGCGGTGGTGGGCGTGGTTGCTGTCATGGCTGGGTGAGGTGATAGATATCGTGCTCATGCGTTCGGATTTAAAATAAAGAAAACAGCGCGCATTTCTTATCGAGCGGGAGGGGGAACTAATATCAAGTACATCTATTAGCAGCTACATTTTATTAAAAACTGTTGCGCAAGTAAGCACTCAACATTATAATCCAGAAAGTCCTTGGGCTCATTTTTTCTTAAAGTTCAAAATCAAAAACACTGATCTTAGATGTAACATTAACAATAAAGAATATTAGAACTAATCAATTCCAATTTTATGAAACCGGGAGGTTTCGGAGAATGGAGTTTTAACCAATAAATTTGTCACTACAAGAAAATAGTAGACTTTATGAAAAAAAAGAGGATTTTTTGTTGCCTTTAAATCACGCAATACTCATCTCGCACTTTTTTTTACAAATGCATATCACCAAAAAAAATTCATATAGAAGAACCTCAAAAGTCACAATACAGAAAAAATAAAATAAATTTGATTACCTTCACTAGGATTTCACACATGACAAGAACCAATAACAATATATAGCTCATCCATAAGAACTCATAAAGTTGAATATTTCATTAAAGACCTTAAAAAAGCATGCAATAAAAATTTGCATTATCTTACACCCTTAGTTGTCTCGCAGGTCATTCAAGTGAAAAGAAATACATAAAAAATAATTGAAAATAACATTGAAATTAAAAATATTCATCATTGCATAAATCATCAATGCAATAAACAATAAAT